CACTACAGGCCGCGTCAGGGTTTATGGTGGCCTATCGGATAGCTTTCTGATCGCGAGTGACGTTCGTTAGGGTTGACCGATTTCTCCATTTCTGTTCAATTTCGTCGTGGATTCTATCATGGAGTGTTCCCTTGCGGAATCTCACGATGTAGGCGTTGAAGTGCTGCCTGGTGAAAGATTAGTGGATCTAGGTTATGCGGACGAAATCGTCCTGCTTTTCTACGTTGTTGTGTCGGCCCAATGAACCCTGAATACCCTGTCCAGAGTGGTCGCATTATTTAGTATGCGTTTTACACCTTCAAAGTGCAAACTATTGCTGCAGGACCACCAGCCGCTTTATGACCCCTCGACCCTTGCTAATGAGGAACTTGCGGTAGTTGATCAATTCACTTATCTTGGCGGCTGCATTGTCAATGTTGGGCGCATAGAAACCTGCGTCAGCTCTCTCAATGCAAAGGCCAGAGCTACCTTCTTGAACCTGCGGCATCTTTGGCGACAGAAAGGAGTTTCCTTGCGTCTGAAAGGCCGTGAATACAAGGCCACAGTGAGGGCGGTTCTGCTCTAAGGTAGTGAGACGGCACCTTCGGTCTGAAGATCTGAGGCACCTTAACGTCTTTGATAATCGTTGTCTTCGAAGCATTGCTGGTGCCGAATGGCACCAGCGTGTCCGCAACGATGTTGTGCGTAGGCGAGTGCTATGCAGTTATAACCAGGCTAGATTTTTAGATGGTGAGATAGCACTGAATAAGTTGCGTAGACTTGGACACATGCTACGTATGCCTGCTCACCGATTACCTAGGAGCGCTTCGTTTAGTCTGCTAAGTGTAGGCTAGCGCAAGGCTCGAGGTGGACAGAAGTTGACTTGGCAGCGGAAAATGAAGTCACTGGTGACCAAATTTGGTGCGGTCGGTCCGTCTCGTCTTCCGAGCTGAAGTCTACGTGACTCGCCTTGTGCTTCGCTCTAGACTTTACAGGACATGGCTCGCAGTGACACCAGTGGCATGCCTGCTGTCGTATCCTAGTCGGACTGTCTGTTTAAAGTGTGTTTGGTGCTGAGTTATCTGCGGGGTGATGGCTGAATGTGACGTGGGACAGTGAAAGCCACAAGGAAGCTGTCTCGCCGATACCGCCTTATCTTTACATGATAGCCAGCTGTTTGTGACGATATGTTGTTAACTCTTGGTGCAGGCGTCTGGACGCTGAACGTTTGCTTTTGTGATTGTGTTTTCGTGGTACGTCTCTTCTCTGTCCCTCTTATTTTTCTTTATTCCACAAGTCATCACGGTTGTACGGCAGTGAAATATCAGTTCCAATGGTTGAATTCATGCTTTCGATGATACTGATGCCTTACCGGGGCCTATTGTTGCGGCGCATGATCCCGGGACGATCCAGCAGCCTCCTACAAGTTGCACTGCTCAACGTTCAAAGCCTACGAAACCGGCTACACTAGGTGGGTTTTCTAGTAGATTAGGACCGTCGAAATATGGTTATCCTTTGACGTCATGGATAGTGAGGTGTAAGTACCAGGCTAGGTGTTACTGAGAACTAACCACCAGCCGTCGCGGTGGTCGAGTCGCTTCATACATTAAGAGAACATGTATCAGCGGTACGCCGGCACATCATACCGGCGCTTTGCTGCTAGCGTACGCTGCGTAAATCCGAGAATCTTCCGCACCATCGCGCATTCGAACCGGGGACCTCTTTATTGTAGGGGGGACGCTTTTGCTTTCAGCCACAGGCGGACGCTTCCTAGGTCGGTACTGTTGTAGATGTTCCGAAAACATGCACTTTTCGCTGTTCTTATATAGCACTGTTCAAACTCTTTCGACGGAGGTGGGTGCTGCATTAACCTAGTTCAAAACAGTTAGTGCACAAGAACACTGAAAGCACTTCAAGTGCCTTCATTGATTTTATTCGTACTCGCTCACTGAATACCATGGTGAAGAGCGTAAAATAACTCATTCAAGTGAGAATTAAGGCCGGTGCTTCTCGTCTTCCCTGATCAGTTTCTCTAGCTTGACGGGCCGATAGTCAACTTATCTATCGGATACGATCATCATCATCAATACGTTACTTGAGGGTTAGAAACACACCTCAGCTAATGTGCCGCAATACAAAAAGATAAGATACTAAAAACTTCACTACAGAAATCAACTAACATGGTGTTAGACGTTGTATTATGCACTTCGTATGAGATCGGAATTGGAGAGGGAATCTAAAGGAGATGGAGATGGACAAAGAAACACACAACACAAACGCCATTGGGGCCGTCTCTTCGCCATATCAGCCTGTGTCCAACCAGACCTGTTCATCGTTCTTAGGCTCTTTACCAAGCAGTCGGGATACATCAACCGACGCCGACTTCGAAGTGCGGATTTTTATTTCTCTCGACCAAATCATCGCTTGACCTTACTTCCTCTTCCAATCGCACCCTCGGCGCACAAACTATGCACCTCGCGGGAGCCGGTGTGCTGGCATGCGCAACACGGCTCAGCTGTCGGAGCATTGTGCGTGATCTGCTAGTGCTGAGCGGTTCGCTCTCTCTTGCTGCACCAAATGCGCGACATCGAACACATTCATTGCTCACGCAGTGCTCCCACCAGACACGAGTTAAGCTGCGAAAGCAGCGTTGGTCGAACGTGACTAGCCTCTTTAAATTTGTTGACCTGATGGGTCAGGTTTCACAACCGTATAATAGGCTTGAATTGATGGCTGCCTTATAAACTCTGCCCTTCAGGGCGCGAGTGGTGTCGCATCGGAACCACAGGTCTCGGAGATTGGCTAAGACACCTCGAGCTTTTTATTTGTGGTTCGCGACCTCATCTTTGATCCCATGGGCGCCAATATCGCTGTCCAGGTACTTGAATTCCTGAGCGACTTCTAATTGATCACCACCATGGGTCACTGCAGAGTTGGGTCTCTGCCAATCTCGGAGAAAGCCTGCATTTCGTTAAAGCGAAGCATAGCCCAAAACCATTGACAACCGGTGCTAATCGATCCAGTGCTGTTTGGCACTTTTGGTTGCTGTCACATATGAGAGCAATATCCTCGCCATACTTCAAGTTACTCCAAGTTGCTCACCAAGTAGTGCCCAGCGAACGTCGCTTCCATGATTTCGTCAATGGCGAAGCTAAAGAGGAAAGGTGACAGTGAGCAACCTTGTTACCGCTAGATATATTGAAGGGTGGCGACAGTTTTCCATAAACCTTCACTCTGCCCGCAGTGTGCGTGTACAGCGCTTTGATATTGTATACGAATTTATCCGGCACACCTTTCCTCAGCAGACAGTCTCAAAGGGCATATCGGTCGACTGAGTCGAGAAACACGACAACGGTGGATCACCAATAAACATGGCGGTGCTCCAACACTTGGCGACAAGTGAAGATGTGGTCGATGCATCCCCGACCTCGATGAAACCCGGTTTACTCCTTATGAATCTGGCTTTGACGTGTGCCAGTCAGTTTGTTGAGAACGACAGACGCAAGCAATTTGGAGACGATTGTGATCAGTCTGATCATTATGATTGCCGCATTTTGAACGGAAGCCTCCCTTGAAAATTGGGAGCGCCTCCAGTCTGTTGGGACAGTTTCCTTTTCCAAAAGTTTCACTAGTAGTTGGTGTAAATCATCTATACGAGCAGATCCCCCGAATTCGAAGAGGGCTGGGAGAATTCTATCTGCCCATGCGGTTGTATGCAATTTCAACAGTCCCATCCCGCTCGACTTCTGATGTGAGGGCGGATCCGAGGAGACGGTCCATAGAGAAGGGCACTTAATGCTTGAGAAAGTAAGTGATAACTCAGCTTGTTTAAATTGTTTCACAAAGTGTTCAGCCCAACGCTCCAAGCGTTTTGACAAGCTGTGGATCGGCTATCCTCTCTGGTTGCGCATATGGTTTCGCTAACACCAGATCTGCTACCTGTTTTTCGTTTCAGACGAAATAACTTACGATGATTACTACCACGCTTCGCGGTCCGTCTTCTGGCTAGCAAGCAGTTTTGCCCTGAGATTTTTGTGATTCCCATTGTCTTCGTTTCCAGCCGTAATACGTCGGTAAGCATCCATAAGTTCCAGAGACTATAAATTCCCCATTTCAGGTTGGCAGTTTGATTTGCCACATGAAGACATACCTGCTGGTAGTATTGTATCGTATTTAACACTTGCCCAATAAACATTTGGCAGAGTGCCACAACACATGAGTAACAATAACAAAAGAGAGAGTGAGTAAGAGGAATGGAAACAAAGTTTCATATGTTGTGTGGGCATTGAGCATACCAGTTACCCAGGCCGAGGAAGAACCTGCTGATAATAACGTTTGGCGAATATGCAACCAGTCATCTTCGACGGTGTTCAGTGGGCGCTTACTCAACCCGGATGTCAACGTACTTTGATACGCATTCAGAGCACCTGGGTTCGCCAGTTGGTTTGTGTCTATGCTGTCACAGTGACGTTTCGTACATCCACCGATACGCACTGGAAGGTCAGCACACACAAGAGCGTGATCAGCGTGCACGCTCGTACTCCAACTCGAGCAACAATTTTGGACACAGCAGCAGTAAATGATCGCGACATGATCGATTTACGTCCATGGCTAGTCCGACGCTAGCGGGTGCCAAGTCAGTTCTGTGGCTGCTGCGTCGAAACTTAGTGCTCACGAGACAGAAACGAGCAACTTCACACATTACTAGCAACCATTCACCGTTGTCATTACGGATACGATACTCTTGCACTTGCTATCTCACTCCAGACTTTCAGCCGACCCACCTAGGGATACCTTTTCTGATTTTTTCTTCGCGGATTACTTTTGTCATTGCTATTGTGTGTACTGTTTAACGTTTTTGATGGGCTTTTGCTAATTTATATGCATATATCGCATCTGGGCACCATTGCTAACTCAGCTGATAGGTTGGTAACACCAAAATATCTTGCTTCCTTTCCCTTTCCGCTTTGCTTATCACCTTCAGACATATAAGATATCAGCAGGACGCCGTTACACAGTACCTACGCTTCACTTCCGCGCAACTGCCACCAGTCATACTGTGAGGATCGCTCCGTCACTACGCAGAGAAACTGGCACAGAAGCTATGTTCCACATCTAGCTAACGTCTATGATGATGATGATTATGATCCCTACGCAGGCTCGAACCCGCGCTATCGGATTACTAGACAGGCTTGTGATCCTTTGGGCTACAGACTACGTTCAGACATATCACAAGTTGTGCATCATCTCTCACTCCATTTTCATTTTTTTCTAGCTATGTCTCCTTCAGATCACTGGGCAAAACTAGAACGGTTTAAAATCAAAAATTTTCCCCCGCAATTGTATTACATTCCGGACTTTATTACTGAAGCTGAGGAAGAGCAGCTAAGCAAACACATATACGCTTCTCCCGTTCCTAAATGGGTTGTCCTTAGCGGTCGCCGATTACAAAACTGGGGTGGCATTCCACACCCCAAGGGTATGTTGGTGGAGCCCATTCCCCAGGTCTCATTATTCTTATGCGCATGTTACACATTGCTACCATTTAGTGGCTCTTATTTCTCATGGATCGTGTCTCGGATCTGCACATCTTCGGTGGACATCGGGCTAACCATGCTCTCATAAATGAATACACTCCAGGACAAGGCATTTCGGTGAGCTCTTTGTTCTAACTGAACTCACTTTTGTTTTTGTGCTGGCTGTTGCGTGGCAAATCTGGCGCTAGTAGTTGTTACCTAGACAACTGTTTGTCTCTGGTACTTACTTTTTCTACGTGTGTAATGTTGATCCTAGTTTGCAGCATCTCGCTTTTGAATGAGCGAATTCGATCAGAGTAGTAGCCTTCAGAATATCCGTTAGTTACTACTATCTGTAGACATTGGCCATATTTTCGTGCTTGCTAATAACATTCTTATTTAATGTGAAAGGGTTCAAGCGGTCTTGGTTGGTTCTTCACAGTTTTTATGGATTGTTATGTAATATTCCTGCCTCAGAATCACTGGTCAGGAACGGACAGGTGTCTACTCTGTTTTTTTGCGCGTATGATATTTCCTAACACGGCAGCATGTGACCCCTTGGTGTTTGCTGATTGTTATTTTAATAGGACCACATGAAGTCATTCAGCCTGTCCGTTTAACAATCAGATCATCAGTGCCGACGTAAGATTTATCCTGCCCTGGTATAATTGCATCAAATACTGGTTCCTCTAACTGCAGCCAACGGTTTAACCTCATTGGTGATCTCTTGATGGTGACTATTTGTGGAGTAATGGCGTCGCAGGCGTAGTCCCACAGGTTGCTTAAGTTACCTTTGTACGCTCCTTTGAGAGGCACCTCTAAAGTGATCCGCAAAGAGGTTTATTCGCTCATTAGCCAGACAGGTAGGTTAGCGGCAGTCTTCTTCTTCGAGTAGAAACTGAAAATAGATAACTACTTTGGGTAACATCCAGGGTAACTTCATCTGACGACACATCTGACGTATCCGGGTGGTCTTTTGATGAGCTCCTCCATTTTATTCTGTGGTCGAGCTTTAATCCTCTCAGCCATCATTGAAGACACCTCTGCGAACTGAAATTGGGTAGTGAGATCCTCACCAAGTTTTTCAGAGACAACTATCAGAGAGTTCCAACTCCACTAGGATTAATGTTCAGTCACCGTCGGCTTGTCGATGAAGGGGTAACGTGCGCACCATATCAACGGCTTCTGGAAGAAAAGCGGTTATCTGTGGGCTTTCGCAAAAGTTATGCATGCGGTTGTAGCTTGACGGTCGAGTAGAACCACCACAATTGTTAAAGACATTTTAAGTTCTGAATTATTCTGAGCGAATGAGGCAAGAATCTACTATTACGTCTGAAAAGGACAAATTGTGCTCATCCCACCGCACTAATGCGCGGATAAGCATCTTCAGCCGCAGACCATTTGTGTGACTGACATTGTAAGTGTGCTAATGCTTCCGCGTTCTACCGATTGTGGTGCGCGCAACGTCGGTGTTAGGAAAACCATTTTTGATGATGGTCCTATGGCTAGCGAGTTGCTTAGAGGCCCGGCCGCGAAATCTCAACATGGTAATGAGCAGTGCATAGAATTCGGGCGGTGGATCGTTGTATGACTTCGAACATCCGTTCTCGTTCGTAAATAGCGAGGGTATGATTCACGTGAGAAAAGCCTGGATTTTCCAGTTCTTGATAGAAGTTACACCTTAAAAGGAAAAGCGACGTTGCTGGCCCAGGAAGAGGGAATGCGTGTGACGGTAAGCGGTGAATTCGCGTCTGAAGGCGTGCGTGTTAGGTGAAGTGAATGAATGAATGCGATTACGTTTGTTAGTTATCATCATCCTTCCGAGGGGATGGGTTGGAATCTACTCTTTGGAGTCGGTTAAAACTTTGTCCTAGGTTAACTTAGCGCATTGTATAAGACATTCGTGGCCCTCATCTTTTGCATGGTTTAAACTTGTTACCGATGATTCCATCGCGAGGAGACGACGTGGTGCTATTTCCTGCCTCCGTGGCCCACTGGTCTACACTGGGTAGCACTTTACAAGTGCCTTCAGAGCATTTCACGCCGGCTAGTTCAATGATTAGGAGTTAGACCAACTCAGTCTCACAATCCTCTTCTGAGTTTAGCGAAAGACCGGTAGTCTTTTTCCTTTAAAAATTAGCCATTAGAGATCACAGGTCATCGGTTCCATGCTCACAGTATGACTTACGTAGCTGGAGTATCACGCTCCACTTCTAGCAACGAGATAGCATCACCGGATGCTCAATAGTTTTCTAACGCCCACCTCAAAGCAGGCAGCCCCTGGTCAAATTGGTGCAAACCTTCAGACTACCACCTACGGTTGGCCGTGGTAGCAGGTGCGCAATATACTACTGTCGGAAAGAATGCGGGACTCGTTTAACCTCTTTTGAGGATTCGTGTGATAGGTCTCAAGCAGATCTCAGTTGTACCTTGCGGTCATGCACTCGGACTGGACTTGCTCCCCACTGCCTAGTGGGTCAGTCTATTTAGCGCGGAAATAAGACGAAAACTGGTAGATGCATGCATTTCGTATTGTCTCCTCAGTACCATTAATCATAACTGATGTACATAGTTTGGGTGTGACCAGACATGCATGAGATGCAGAGTGAATGACGGAAGTTCACCCCTTAAGTCCAGGGCAGCCTTAAGGTGACAAATAATTGTTTTTGAACACACAAAGTTGCGTTCATCCGTCCTATAGTGAAAGCCCCAGTAAACTGAAGGAAGCGGGGACTGGCGTGACGCAATGCAACTTTGAATGCTGAGCTCGGCTCTATCCGGTGACCTGAGACAAAGTGTTTGCTTATCGAAGAAGCTGGCGGCCTACGCGAGCACAGGAGTTGAGAAGAGTAGGGGGTTTGGGTGATTCCGTACTGAACCCATCTCAGCACGTGTTCCTTTATTCGGGAAGTCAGAATCCTATCTAACTCATTCCGCAATTACACACGAATTAGTATGCACAGTTTGAGTTGGTCCTGATAGGCTGAACGTCCTTTGTTGGAGTAACCGGTAAACTTCGAGTTCGGTTGATTACAACGACTTGAGCAGCGTAGTAACTTCTCTGTTTAGCTGCGATTATACACTTGGTTGTATTTAGCATGGCAAAATCCCCTCGGATAGGTAACTCAATGTAAACCTTCTCCTTGGCTGCCATTTGCACCAAGTTCTTCGGCCCTCGCAGTTGGCTGTGTTTATCGATGAATCTTCGAGGATAGCCGTTCGCCACAAGTGTTTCTGTACTTAGTGCTAGCTCCTCAGTCAGACAGTCTGCCCTGCAAATTCGTCTGGCACGACTAACTGGGGTCTTCACAAGTGTCTGCTTGTACCGCACTGATGTGGAGCTAGTGAAGTGCAAATACTGACCGGACCAAGTTGATTTTCGACAAACGGGCCTCTCAATTAATCCATCCTCACTGCGATTGATAAGGATGTCCAGATATGGCAGACAATTATTCCATTCTACTTCGCACGGAACCTGTAACTTAACTTGTGCACCGTTAAGGCGCCCTACCAACTTTGCGCGCTGCTGCTCCGACGAACAAAATGCCAAGATATCATCAACATAGCGTTTGTAGTAGGGCACTTGGGCTATTTCCGTAGAAAAAATTCTTTCTGTCATCAGCATGAAGAAATCAGCGAGTACATGGTTTTAAATGTTTTGGAAAACTGGTAGCTCGGGTTGCTAATTCAGTTGCTCATTTGTTCGCCGAGCTGCGAAATTTGTTTGCAAACGTTTCACTGCCATGCGAGGCGGCATCATCAGTGCGTCGAGATGTGGAGTGTAATCTCGCTGATTGAATTGTCGACCCGTGATCAGCGTGCAGGTGACTTTTCGAAAGTGACGGCTTCGATCTGTGTCCTGTGATCTCTACCCATTTCCCCGTGGCGGAGGTCGTCGCTTGGGTTGTTCCTATTCAAGCGGCGTCTCATAATTTCGCTAAGTTCTCTCCGTCGGAGGGGTTGGTAAACTGGGTCAATCACGATATGTATGTTGATCGAGTCTTTTGTTGAGAACCACGCTTCCAGGAATTCCTGGAAGCGGTACGGCGGTACGGCGTGTTCCGAAAATGGAAGCCGACCTCCTTGCACAATAATAGTGATTCTCTCAGAAATTCAGTCGGAGTTGCTAATGAACAACCATAGTTTTCAGATAATTCACAGGTAAACTACCCTCTGATGTAGCGGACCTTCAAGAAACACTTGACTTAGTCCAACAGGTTGATTTGATCCAGGTCACCAATGAGTTGAAACGAGTCTTTAAGACTACAGATCGTGTCTTTGTCTCAGCGGGGTAAACACCTTCACTAGTACCCAATGTTAGCTATGTTTATGCCCATCGGTTATTGTTAACGGTACTGAAATGACAATACGAAATGCATGCATCTACCAGCCTTCGCCTTCTTTCCGTGCTTTTCAACTTGCTGTCGGGAATTAATTGCTTTCAGTTTAAGGTCGCGTCCCGCAAGCAAACGTCCATGTTACCAACTGCCTTGTGTTTCAAACTGTTGAGTCAAAGGCTAGAATTACTGCACCTCGAACAAAGCCCATTTCTCGAAATGGGCAGCCGAAGAGTATCTTCTATCTCGACTCCATCAGCAGTACTCTCTCTTCTTTATTTTCTCTCCCTTTTCAACTCTTCTTCCTCGTCCATTGAACAAAGGTCTGCCGCTGACATCGCAGCCGCTGCCATCGTTGCGTGCAGCTTGTCTCTTAAACCAAGGGTCTCATTGGTTTGTTTAACGTTCGGATTCTGGCTCAGGTAGGCCAACGGGCAGCACTATCACTCTTCACTGTCTTGGAATTGATGTTTGCCTTGTCCCCGAAGCACGCATACAAGATAATAGCCTTGTGACGAATCGTTGACTCCCTACTTTTGAACCCGCCGACAATGACTACACTCCTCACGTTTCTGGCGATACTGGCTTATGGCTGAAAGTATTATGGTGTTGGTATTGCCTTCTGCACTTGTCACCTGGCGCCCACCGAATTCCTCGGTGACCTAGACCCAACTTGACCATATTGACATCAACTATAGATAGTACACATCAGTCCAAGACGGTCAGTCAATTTGGATTGCGTACCTGAATTCCGACCATTCTGTAGTACTCGCACCTCTGGCGCTCACTTTTCCCGCCTTA